AACAATTCGCTAAGTGGTACGTATCGAATTCCAAATTGTTTCGATCTCATGCTGATGTTCAGCTTCATAGTCACTGACAGGAATCGATAAATTAAGTCCAAGCCACTCCCAAGGTATCGTATACACTAAATCATCGACTGTTTTTAGAAAATTACGTATTAGAACGATCGTTGAATGTTCGTGGCATTCTGACAAAATTGCTCATTTTTTCAGGCGAAGGTTATGACATTGAAAATAATCCATGGCATGAAAAAATTAAATTACGAGAAGAATTAAATTGGCTGCGTAAATATGGTAGCATTCGTCCATCTGCATGCAATCAAACTATGAATTCGTCTGCTGACAATCTATGTATTCGTCAGGGTACATCCATCTTGATTGTTTTACTCTTATTCATACTTTTTTTGTAATAAAAAACGCGCTTAATTCTATTTTAATTTTTTTTCTCCGAGTCTCAACTAATCGCTTCTCATTCTCATTATAGTAAGAAACGTGATTGAATAAGTTAGAAAGTTAATTATTCAACGACTTTTATTAATTCTTCTACTATACCCTTCCAGGCAGAATCAATTTAAAAGAAGTATTCCGTACATCTTGAGCTCTTTATAAGAATAGTTCATTGGGAATAGTTCAAGTTTTCAGTGACTACTATCACGCGATTCGAATTCGAGAATAAAGTTTGCTTGTTCATACACCGGAGCTTTCACTAACCGTAGTGCCTGATAGAAACCACTAATGTTTCCAGCCGACGTTCAAAGTGTCCCGAGGAGGATCACGGTTTTTCATTTAAGAAAACTTCAGTAAAACCTTGATATATGAAAAAAGCCTAGGCGATCAAATTATTCTAGGCTTTTCGATTGCTCACTTGTATCATTATACTGTCTCGGTTCAAGTGCAATTAAACATTTGAACAAGTTAGTTCCTGTTTCAATTTTATCAACTTCGCGTTGATTTTCGTGAACGCACGAAAATATTCTAAGTGAAAAGTCGATTGGGCCTATCTGATTCTGCGTCACATATGTTGTTCCAGGGCAAGATACGATGACTTTATTTGAATAAGCAAGTAACTGAAACCATCAACGAAAAGATGCAAGACAATAGCGTCCATTTTCTTGAGGAAGTAGAAAAATAATGACTGTCGCTGCCACTGAGTGGACCCTTTTCTTTTGCAAACATTTGAACTCGAAAATTGTTCCAATCAGTCACATACAAGTCTCCATCGCGATTAAATGCCAAGTAGATTGGATTACTAAACTGTCTTGAACTATTACCCTGACCATGTCCGCCTGCAATAACAGCTCCATGTTGTGCACCTGCATACACACTCAAAATGCGGTGGTTAAGCTCGTCTACTACATAGATTGTTCCATTTTTATCTAGAATAATGCCGCCTGTTGTGTTGAACTGATCGGTTCGATTACCGATGCCTTTGCCACCTGCGACAATAACTCCTGCGCCAGCATTTACTGTCCATTTCACTACACGATGATTATTGGAATCGGACACATAGACCGTTCCGTACTCATCGACTGCAACACCTCGAGCTAAGAAGGGATGAGAAATACACACAACAGTCAGAACACGACTCAAAGTATACGTACGAAAGTCAAGTTGATTGAGAGCAGAACCTTGACTGCCACCAGCAACGACGCTTACGAATTGCCCATCCTTCGTATACTTGACTACACGATGTTCACGATGATGCCCAAGATAAAGAAACTCCTCTTTGTCATCCCAAGCGATACCATAAAAAGATGAATTGGCAGTAATGAACGTCTCACCCAACGTAGCTCCTTTCTTCAAACTAATGACACTCCCGCTCGAACCGTTCTCGACAGTAACGAACAAAGTACCTTCCTTGTTGAATACGAGAGCAGTAGGAAAGCACAGCAGATCCTGCGCACTCACTCCGCATTGGCCTCCAGCATAAGTGACACCACTCGATGCACCCTTCTCCCATTTGACCACTCGATGATTAATATTGTCAGTGACGAATACGGCATCAGTTGAATCAACGAACACTCCATATGCGGAGTTCAATTGGTTTAGAGCTTTTCCTGGACCGTTGCCTCCAGCCACCGTTTTTGCGTTAGATTCCCATGTTGTTTTGGCACATGGTGTTGCTGAAAAATGTTACATTCAACCATTTAGTCGTTGACTATAGCAATAAAGACGCACAAAGGTCGTGCTAATTTGTTTTCATAAATGCATCTGGTAATCAAGCTCGCTTTCACTTCACTTTATAAAAATTACAGCTTTTCTCGATTACGATCTATCGATGCATTCATGTGACTCGTATTACGAGCCTAACGTTTAAAAGTTCAGTTCATTCGAAAGACGCAATAGGATAGTTTCTGTGATCATACAAAAATGAATGAGACACTTACCACTCGATGAACATTTATCATAACGGCTGTAACTCGATACGTGAGCTACAAGTTGTAGTAAGAAGAAGAAAAACATCACACTTTTTGTAATCATTACAAGAAAAATTTGAAAGTGTGTGTGACTCCTTTGCTTATTTATACAGAGAGATAACAACACGTCATAATGCACCTAACGCATGAGTATAGACATTGCTTTTCTTTTCTTTACTCATGTTTTAACTCATATATTTGCAAATGACAGCACAAAATATTATTGTTCAGTCGAAATCTGTTGATTCTCTCGAGTTTCTATGAATTATTTGGTTACTGAATTTCGACATCAATTTTTTCGTGACGACTTTGAATTCCAGTCAGCGATTGCTGGAACTTAATCGACGTGATCATAAAACGACACCCTTTAGAATCTACGGTGCATGAATTCTAGGGCCGGAAAAGATCTAGATTGTGAAATTTTGTTCTTCTTACGTCGTTAGACCTGGTTGGATCGAGAGCGAGTGTCTACGGGCGGAGATACGAATAGCAGACATCCGGGAAATTGATAACTCATACGTGCACTTCTGAACGCATTGGGACAAACCCAGTTCATGTGATCATATCCTTACATACCGGTTGATCTGGCGACCTAGTAATATCAAGTCTCGACTAGCTGTGACTCAGACTCGAGACTCAAACGGGATTTACACCTTAACCTATCTCCGATCTAGTCCAGTTTCGAAGAGTAT